CAGGAATGCTTCAGCTGAAGCAGTGTTGCGTGCTGCACATTTTCACTTACAATTTTTGCCAGTGAGATCTGGGGTCTACAGCCCTCAACATATGGGGCCGGAAGAAGGGTCTGGGTCTGTGTGGAAGATGAAGCCAGACTTCCTTGTGAGGGAAGCCATAGGAAGTATTTCAAGCTGCACATAGAATCATAGATTGGTTTGGGTTGGAAAGGACCTTAAGATCAGCTAGTTCCAACACCCCTGCCGTGGGCAGGGACACCACACACTAGGTGTTTCTTGAGTGACCTTAAAGTACAGCTCTGCATTGAGCATGACCTGGAGAAATAACACCTCTTTTCACATGTTTTTCTCACTTTTGAGCACTCAGGATCTGATCTGCTGAGCCCAAGTAATTTGTCAAGGCTTTTAAATTCTGCTTCCTGCAGACCCAGCATAACTGAGAGAGATGAAGAACAGGATTCTTGTCTCCTTAATACATGTTTCATACAATAGCTCTCCAAGTCCCAAGTCAGGGACAGCCGCAGTGCACTGCAGATGAGTGGTGAGAAGTGGTATTTGCTTTCAGTTTTCTGTTCATCTTCAGAGAAATAGAAAGAAAACCCGATTTTACTCTGGTTCTGCCAAGGCAGGAAAAGGAGAGGGGGTTCACTGGTGGCAATTGGAAAAAAGCCTGTTTCATTTAGTAGTCTTACAGAAGTTACACATGTTAATAAAGCTACAGGAGTTCAGTAGGCTTGTGCACTATGGAAGGGAAGCCACGTAGCCCCACATGTGGGCAGATTTTGACTCACTCACAAATGAGGTTTTATTGGCTGCATGTCTTTGTATATTTAATATTCAAGCCTGTACTCTCCAAACATTCCCAAGCAGAGTTTACTGATATGCTTAAAGTTAAGAACATGCACAAGTCTTTGCATGAAACTGGGATCGACCCTGTATGTTGACATAACAAACTTCATGTTTTAAGAAGCATATTGGGAACCTCTTCAAGACTGTCTGCTAATTACCAAAACTGACAGCCACTGAGCATGTCTTCCCTTCGTTTCCTGCCTTTCTGGACTGAGTTTAATCATTAGAGCCTCCCTTTTCTTCTAGCATTCTCTTAGAGGCAAGTGCTGCTTGTGTGATCTCCGCTGTTCCTTTACTTACAAGGGGTTTTCTTTTTGTTCCACAGATTAGGACTCGCAGATACCTACCAATGGTAAGGCACTATCTTCAAGCTCTATTTCTTATTTTGAGACTGTCTAAACAACTATTTCTTTTATTTTGATCCTGTTCTTGAGGGGACATTTCTTGGCCCAGTTGCCATCGCTGCCAGTCTGAATGGAACAGCCAGTTCATTTGAACAATGTTTAATCTAATGCTGTTTAGTTTGTCTTCCCTATTTGTCCACTCACAGCACAACTCATTCCTTTCAATATTGCATGAAGTGGATTAATTTACAACCCATAGTGATTTTTGATATTAAATCATTAGGCTGTGTTCCAAGTTGAATAGATTCTGACCATTGTTGCATGAGATAAACAGGTTAGAGAACCACAAGCACGCTGTGACCTTTAGCAGCTCTATGAATAACACCCTTTGCAATTGGCAGGGCAATTGGGTCGAAAACTCTTCCCTAACAAAGCAGTTGAAGCAATTAAAACTGTCCAGCAAAGGAGGTAAATCAATCCTTGAGTTAACAGTTTAGCCTATTAAAATGACAGAAGGATCTTAGTGTTCCTCTTGACAAGTGCTTCTTGGGATGTACTTTGTAATAGCTACTGTGGAGAATTTTAGTCTGCAGTATTTGGGTTGATCATTAGGGAAGCTGCCTTGAAAAAAAGCAGAGTAAGTGTAAGATGCTTCACTCTCCTATTCCCACAACATGGAATCACTTGGTAGCAGCCTAGTGCATGGCAGACCTTTATGTCATCCATTTGCAAACAATGTGGATTAGATGTCTCCCTTTATTGTTGGTATTTATGGGACAGCCTTAGGAAGTGTTTAGTGGAAGAGCCTTCCAGCATGACTAGGATAGCACAGCTCTGCCTCCTGCTTCCTTCAAGAGAAGATTAAGACATTGCCCATCACTCCTTTGCATTTTCATATGATAT